CATTATGTTTATGTATAATGTGACTTTAATTTCTATTTTATGAACAAGACAGATTGACCTCAGTGGGTTGTGATTACCAAAAGGGAAGTCTTAATGTATGGAGAAAACATGAGCTTTTGATTAAAAATAAAGGTTTAATTAGGAAAAGTTACAAAACGGACACGGAGTGACTGTAAACCAGCATCTTGCACTTATAGTGTGCATATGAAGTGTACCACATAGTCGGAATGATTATAAAATGTTTAAATCTTACAGCGGGGTATTGCAGCTTCCTAACTGTAAAGAGTGGAATGCCATATTGAAAGCTCTCAAGGCATGAACCAGGTCACTCTACATTAAGATACAAGATTTTACAGTACAGTTAATCACGATTGTTCTCAAACATAAAACAATATAAGTTGGTCAAGGCAGCTCGATGTTACTAACATGTATTTATCTGTCTTCAACCTCAAGTCGCTGTTCAATCTGCTGGAGTTCCAGAGGCTGGTGCTCAACTACTCTCCACCCGCCAGAGTCCATGACCTGCCTTGTAACCAGAAGGTGAGAACCCCATCTGTCCTCCCAGGTCCTCAACAGAGGAAAATGAAGATGCAGTAACGAAGTCAAGATGTGATGTCTTTAAATGCTTTTTTGTGCAATTGCCATATAAGCTCTACTTCTATCATATCGGCCCTTTTTAGCTTGTCACAGCTAGTAGTGCTTTAGCTCTGAGGGTGTGACGCTCTTAGAGCTGTGAGCCACTATTCAGCAGCTGTGTGATCTTGCTATGAGGTCACAAGAGCTTAACACTTTGTGTTTGATATTGCACTTAAGTCACTGTAAGTAAGCTACGAGAAGTGCCAGCTGTGTGCATTGACTGACACCTTGTTATTTCTCCACCAGGACAGAAATCAACATGTACAGTGAGCATGTTTTGATTGAGCCTCAGGTTTTTTTCCCGGTGGTTCCACTGGCGCCAGTGTGCGGCAGCCTCTCGTCATCGGTGTGTGAATGTGTGTGTGAATGGGTGAATGGTGTATGATCTCCTGTAAAGCGCTTTGGCCAGTGAAATATGCACTATATACAGGTATGTGCCAAAAAATTAGAATATTGAGGGAAAGTCCATTTATTTCAATAATTTGTTTCAAAAAGTGAAACTTGTATGTTATATTAGTTCACTACACACAAAGTGAAATATTTCAAGCCTTTATTTGGTTCAATTTTGATGATTATGGATTAAAGACAAAAAAAACCC